AAGGATTTCTACACCTCCCATCCCACTTGATTTCCCTCTGGAGGGAATGTGACACGGGTCAATTGTGGGCTCCACCCCCCCCCAGCATACAAATTTCATAATAAGAAGGGCTCTGTGTCATCTTGCTTCTCCATTTCCCAACGAAGCGCCTGATAGCCAGCAGGCCCTCTGTTCGTATTTGTAACATGCATGAACAGGACAGAAGTCAGCTGAAGTCTAATATACCCTGCAGCCATCTCCAGAGGCACCCGGGAACACCCACCACCAGGAGCTTAGAGACCTCTAGGCCTGAAATCTGTGGCTGCAGAGGGACTCATAGGGACTGGCTTGGGGGTTGAGGTCCCAGGAAAGAAAAGACCTAAAATAATAACCTGTGTGCACACCTGTCCACACTGATCCCACTAGGTTGTCCAGCCCCCTCCTCGCTCTCAGGGGAAGGAGAGGAAACAGTAGATGGGAAATCCTGCCCCCTTTTAGGAGAGGTGGGTAAGCCAGAGCTGCCACACACACACACACACACACAGTGGATTAGGCCTGCAGAGATGGTCAATGACCACCCAGAGTGATACCAGCCTGGTGACACCCAGCCAGGTCACCTAGAGGCCTTAGGGACAGATGCAATTCCCTAGCCAGACCTGGGGCCACTTCATGGCAGCTCTGAGGTCAGCTGGGGTGCTATAACAAGCATCCCTGAAGAGTGGGCTCAGCAGCACAGGTGGGGAGAGAGGACCTAAGGAGCAGGGTGTTAGGAGTTTAAGTGGTCACCATCTCTTATGGAGCCTGGCACTTCCCAGGTACTACCAACATAGTGGTTGCCTGGGAACCTGCCTGTCACTGCCCACCCAGAGTCACAGTCACTAGTACTACAGCAATGTACTCTTGGGGCCTCCCCAAAGGCTGCCCAGGGCCCCAAGGGGCAAAGCTATCCTCAGATTACCTGTGTGATCACAGAAAAACTCCATAAAGCAGTTTCATTCACAGAGAGATTTTTTTTTTTTTTGAGGCAGGGTCTCCCTGTAGCCCCAGCTGTCCTGGAACTCACTATGTAGACCAGGCTGGTCTTGAACTCAGAGATCCGCCTGCTTCTGCCTCCCAAGTGCTGGGATTAAAGGCGTGTGCCACCATGCCTGGCCACAGAGAGCTTTTTGCCTGCCTCACAATTTTTAAAACATTTTTGTTCTGTTTTTGTTTTATTTTCGCATGCCTATGTGTATGAATGCATATGTGTTAGGTGTGTGTGCACATGTGTGTGAAGGCTAGAGGTCAGTTCCTCAGCATACCACCCACCTTGTTTCTTGAGACAGGGGTTGTCATTGGCCTGGTGCTGGCTGATTAGGCTAAGCTAGCCAATGAACCCCAGGGATCTTCTGGTCCTCTGTCTCCCCAGTACTGGGATTACAGTGTGTATAGCCATGCCCACCATTTTATGAGAGTGCCGGGGATTGGATTCAGTTCTTAAGTTTGCATACCAAATACCTTACTAACTGAACTACCTTGTTTTTATTAAGCTGGACCTGGTGGCATACTCCTTTAATCCCACCACTTGGGAGGCAGAGGTAGATGGATCCAGGCCAATCTGATCTACATAGTGAGTTCCAGGCCAGCTGGGGCTACAGGGACAGCCTGTCTTAAAAAATTTTATTAGTCTATATTTATTGTATAAAGTGATAGATTTCAGGGGCTGATGAGATGGTTCAGTGGTTAAGAGCCCTGGCCGTTCTTGCAGAGGACCCTGGTTCAATTCCCAGCACCCACATGGCGGCATTGCATGAGATGACATCCATGGGTACAACTTGCATGCATGCAGGCAATATACTCATGCACATAAAATTAAAAAATAATAAAAAAGTGATAGATTTCATAATAACGTTTTCATTCAAATATATCATGTACTTTGACTAAATCAGTTCTTCCTATCTTGTCTCATTCATTCATTCATATGTACATATGTATATTCATTTATACTTATTCATATATACATATGTGTATAAAATCTGGATTCCACATATGAGAGAAAACATGTTATGTTTTCTTTCTGATCTCTCTTTTTCTCTTACTCTGATGAGTTTCATCTGTATCCTAAAAATAATATAATTTTATTCTTTTTTATGGCTGAATAAAACTATTTTCTATATATACAATTTTTTTAATCACCTGGGGGTTGGCAAGATGACTCAGTGGTAAAGGTGTCTGCTGCCAAGCCTTTGACCTGAGTTCGAGCCCTGGGACCCACATGGTGGAAGGAGAGAGCTGATTCTTGCAGGTTGTTCTCTGGCCTCCACATGCGTGCCTTGGCATGTACCTGCACACACTCACACACAAAATAAATGTAACTGTTTTTTAACTTTTTTATTATTTTTATGACTTTATGAGTGTATTGTTTGCACGTATGTAAATGCACCCATGTCTTGCAATGCCCTGACTTCTTGAAGTCAGAAGGGGGCATCAGATCCCCTGGAACTGGAATTATGGATGGTTGTTAGTCACCATGTGGGTGCTAGGAATCGAATCTTGGTCCTTTGCAAGAGCAGTCAGTGCTCTTAACCACCGAGTTATCTCTTCAGCCCATAAATGTAATTTTGAGAAAAAAAAAACTTCATCTATTGATGGACGCCTTAGCTGATTCTATCACTTGGCAGTTGGGAAGTGCTACCTTGCACTCTGGGATGCATGCAGAACTCAGATCGATGAAGGAATGCCCCATGGTCAAAGTAATGGAGGGCAGACCTGGGTGTTGTGATGCTAGGCTTCTCAGAGGGAGAGCTGACCGCTGGGTGGGCATCTTCTTTCAGACTTACATTCATATCATTGACCAGAGGACTAGAAAGCCTGTGCTGACCAAATTTTACACAGACCCCATGGTGGTCTTCCATCATGTCAATGCCTATGAGGAGGGTGACTGCATTCTGTTCGACGTCATCAGCTATGAAGACAGCAGCCTTTATCAGCTCTTCTACCTGGCCAACCTGAACCAGGACTTTGAGGAAAACTCCAGGCTGACCTCAGTGCCCACCCTCAAGAGGTTTGCCATACCCCTCCACATGGACAAGGTAAGGAGTTCGAGGGGCTCTGCTTTCTAGACAGACCTAAGCCTGGTACAAACTTTTTGTGACACTTATTTGATTGACATTGAATTCCACAATGAACAGGGTTGGCTGGTTTTCTTTATCTCTCTGCCTCTGTCTCTGTCTCTGTCTCTCTTTCTCTCTCTCTCTCTCTCTCTCTGTTTTATACAGGAGCCATTGCATGGATATAACATGGTACCCACTATTCTTTTTATTTTTTTTGGTCTTTTTGAGACAGGGTCTCCCTGTAGCCCCAGCTGACCTGGAACTCACTATGGAGACCAGGCTGGCCTTGATCTCACAGAGCTCTACCTGCCTCTGCCTCCTGTGTGCTGGGACTAAAGGTGTGCACCACCATGCCCCAGTAGATTAGTTCTTTACATATATATGAACTCCATATACCCCCTGCCCTGAACTGTTCTTAGAGAAAACATTTTCCATTGTTTTTCCAAAAGCAGACTATACCTCTGTAGAAACTTAAAAAAAGAAGTCAGTAAAAAGAGACAGCCAGACATGGTGACACAAGCCTTTAGTCACAGCACTGGGGAGGCAGAGGCCAGCAGGTCTCTGTTAGAATGAGGCCAGCCTGGTCTACATAGTTAGTTCTAAACCAGCTAGGGGTGCTACAGGGAGACCCTGTCTCAAAAAGACCAAAAGAGAGAGGTGGGAGGGAGGGAGAGAGAGAGAGAGAGAGAGAGAGAGAGAGAGAGAGAGAGAGAGAGAGAGAGAAAGAAAGAGAGAGAAAGGGAGAAGAAGAAGTTTCTTAAACCTGGCTGCGTATGGTGGCACAGGTTTGTGTAAGCACTCAGGAGTTGAGATAGAAAACCCAAGAGCGTGAGGCTAGCCTGGGCTACATAGACAGACTTTGTCTCAATATTAAGCTAACTGGGCAAGATGACCATTGTGTATAGATTTGTATTTCCTCTCAGTATCTCTGGATACATATTATATATGTGTCCATCTCCATACACATACATACATACACATGCACACATTTTTTTTGGTCTTTTTGAGACAGGGTCTCCCTATAGCCCCAGCTGGCCTAGAACTCACTATGTAGACCAGGCTGGTCTCAAACTCACAGAGATCTGCCTGCCTCTGCCTCCCAAGTGCTGGGATTAAAGGTGTGTGCCACCATGCCTGGCTTCACACATTTTAATCACATCTTTTTTAAAAGATTTTTATTTATTTATTTATTTATTTATTTATTTATTTATTTATTTAGTGTGCCACCACATCCACTAAAAGATTTTATTTTTATTTTATGTGTGTATGAGTGTTTTGCCTATATAAATGTAAGTGCACCAATTTGGTGCAATGCCTGCAGAGGCCAGAAGAGGAAGTCTGATCCCCTGGAACTGGAGTTATGGACTGGTATTAGCCACCATGAGGGTGCTGGGAACTGAACCCAGGTCCTCTGGAAAAGCAGTAACTGCTCTTCACGGCTGAGCCATTTCTCCAGCACCTTAATCACATTATTTTAGCAGCTTTATTAAGATGTAAGTCACATACTTTGCACTTCTATCTAATTCATCGTCCTTTGAGGTACTCAGAGTTGGGCATCCATCCCCACAGTCAATTTTAGAACATTTTCACCATCCCTAAAGAAATTCCAGACCCCTTAGCCATCACCCCCGGCAATGCTCCCCTGTCTCAGGTGACCACCGGTTTCCTCTCAGCCTCAAAGGCTTCACCTGTCCATATTGTCTTAGTGGACTCCTACAGCACTCAGCCTGGCGCAACTGGCTTCTCCCGCTTAGCACGGGGCTTTCCCATCACCCACTCTGTAGCATGATTGGTGGTCCATTCCCCCTTATGGCTCTCTCTTAAGTGTGCATACTACCTTGTGTTCTGCTTTTTGCACAATTATATATCTAAGCATATCCCTATGCTGTTAAAGTCTCTGACCACATCATTTAAAATACTCACTAATGGTCCACAGCAGGGATCTGTCGCCATTGACTTGTATAATTCCTCTGATGTTGGAATCATTCCTAACACTGTGCGTGACCCCTGGGCCAGGAGTCCTCCTGAAATTAGGGTGCTGCTGTCATGGCTCTGAGCAGAAGGACTCTTCTGGCTCCAGAACTCACTGACTTCATGACATAATTAATTTAAATGGAACTAAATTGAACTCAATTACAATGCAATGGCACCCGTTTATGAAAGGACTGCTGCAGGCCAGCTGCTTTGCTGTGCATTTTCTTTTTCTTACGTCACTTACTGGTCAAAACAACCCCCCCAGCTGAGCTTCCTTTTGCAGATGAAGAAACTGAATTCTGGTAAAGGGATATGTTCAAGATCACATTGTACAACCAAGATTAGAACCTGGACCAGTCTCTAAACTGTATCTGTAACCACTAAAAGCTCAGAATTCAGCTGTTCTTTCCAATAGTCCTTATACCTTTGGGATGGTCCTCCCATATCCAAGGAGGCTTTTCCCACCCTAGGTTCTGGGCTCCACAGGGCAGGGGTTCTGCTCTACTCCTGCCCCAGAAGCAGAGGAGTCAGGATTTGCATCCAGATTTTATTCTTTCCTCTCTCCAGCATTTCACCTGTGTTTCCGCCATGGCTTACGCCACATCTCACATCATCCCGATTTCACATGCATAAAATCTTTATTGTTGTTTTAATATTTTATTTATTATTTTTATTTTATGTGTATGAGTGTATTGCCTGCATGTATGTAAGTGTACCTGTGTCATGTGATGCCTGTGGAGGTGAGAAGAGGGCATTGGATCCCCTGAAACTGGAATTACAGACGGTTGTTAGCCACCATGTGGGTGCTGGGAACAGAGTCCAGGCCTTCTGCCAGAGCAGCCAATGCTCTTAACCACTGAGCCATCTCTCCAGCCTCTGTTGTTGTTGTTTTAATCACTCTTTACTAACTCCTGGCAAAGGGAACAAGTCGCTCACCAAGGAAAGTGGCTCTGTCTGCTGCAAAGAGGAGACCAAGATACAAATGAGTAAATGGAAGCCCAGCAAGGCCTGCCTGCAGCTCCAGCCAGGGCTGCCTGACAAGGCCTGACCTTGGTAAAAGAGTCTAGAGTTGGGGGTGTACCTTAGGGAAAGAGAGAATGCTTAGCATGGTGAGATGCTGGCTTTGAACCCCAATATGACATTGAACAAGAAAGAAGTCAATCAGCTGGGCATGATGACACATCTGTAACCTTGGCACTCGGGAGACTGAGGCAGGAGGATTGCAAGTTCAAGGACAGCCTGCCAGGCTACCTGGTGAGACCTTCTTTAAAAATTTAATTACTTGGTTACTTTTATTCTATGAGTGTTTTGCCTACACATATATAAGTGCACCCATGCATGCAGTGCTCACAGAGGTCAGAAGCAGATTATCAGATACCCTGGAACTGGAGTTACTGGTGATTGTTAGCTGCCGTGTGGATGATGAGAACTAAACCCAGGTCCTCTGAAACAGTAGCTTTTAACTGCTAAGCCATCTCACCAGCTAACTCCCCCCTCCCCCAGTTTTTGGTGGGTTTTTTTTGTTTTGTTTTTTTTTTTTACAAAAACTTTATTGAGAATTTCATACATGCATATAAGATGTTTTGATCAAATCCATGCCCACTCCCTCCCCTCCAACATTCCCCCCTCTGAAGAGGTAACCTTAAAATCTTTTAAGGATTAGATACAAGCACCTAAACACTTTTGACATTTTTGGCCTTTGGAACAGAGTATGTAGCTAACAGGTGCAAGGACATTTTGACTTTTAGCCAAGCAACTGGCTACATTTCTTTGGGGGTTTTTTACCCTAACTGCCTAGCCAATTCCTACCTCCTATCTTATCACACCGTCCTCTGACGAGGCTACCCAAATTGCCAATAAGGAATAGGGACGCCAACCGCTCTGGCTTCTTCCATGCTGAACGCAGGGTGGGGCAACTGGAGCACCCCTTCAGTGGGTCTATCTAAAAGACTCCCAAATTGCATAACTCTTGTCTCTAAGGGGAGAAGAAAGACCTTGAATCATGAATGAGAGATGTGAAGGAAAAGTAAAGGCAAGAGTAATTAGCATTACAAGTTCTAGACAGGGA